GAGATTATCAAATTATAGGCTTAGTCCCTATAGATTTTAACATTCTTCCGTTTTTTTTCCCTTGTGTAATGATTTTGAATAAAGATGAACTATAAATAGGATATAAGAGATGTAAGTGATACAGTGGTTAGTTAATTGTATATTTATTATCTTATTCTGATTATTAGCCACTTATATAGTAAAATCATTTTAGCTTGTTTTCGTCAATATTTTTTATTCTATGGACAACAAGATGATTTCGTATTGAACAATTTTGATAAAGAACTTTTAAGAAGTGGACAGGATTATTCATTTGTTTATATCATTCTTTGATTTTTGTTTTGTTAAACTTATATTACACTATCAAATATAAATAATTGTGGATTAGTTGAAGTTAGACATTACCACAAGTGGATACCAGCCAGCTCAATGGTCTAGAGGTTAAGTGTTCACGCTTGAGACCGATAGGACCAGGGTTGGAATCTCGCGAGGCGGTATGGTGAATACGTACTGCTCAGGAGCAAACAGCCGTCGAGTGCTTCCAAATTTTCAATGGTGATCTAGCTTCAATTGACTTATGAATTCCACTATTATAATTTAAATAGTTGAGATCATGAGTCAATTGAAGCTAGACAATAATATCCACACAAAAAACGCTTCTGATATTAATCAGCATATGCTCACTAGTGACTAGTTTCAAGAGATATTTCCTGGAGTTCTAGTGAGGAGCTATGACCAGTGAAGTTCTGTTGTGAGATAGTAAGTCACTGATAATAATGGTGGATATGTCTCTCAATCTTGTTTTGTCCCCGCCAGCTCTGTGGTCTAGAGGTTAAGTTTTCGTCCACGAAACCGATAGGTCCTGGGTTCGAATCTCGCAAGGCAAGATCGTGGATGCGCACTACTCACAATGAAACAGCCGTCCAGTTTTTCCAAGTTTTCCATGATTATCTAGCTTTAATTGACTCGTAAATTCAACTATCAAAATTACTACAATATCCATAAAACCTCTCTCTGTTAATAATATCAAGATTGGCCTAAATTTATGAAATTAAAACTTTTGTATACAGGTTATTGTAGAAGATATAATTTCTATCAAGTTCAGAAGAAGAAGAAGAAGAAGAAGACGAAGAAAGCTTAAATCGAATATACATATGTGAAGATATACTTCTTTTTTTAGTTAGGCATTGAAGTTCAATTATTTTAATATTAAGACTTATACTAAAAAGGTCAAACGACCCACCTCGCGAGATTTGAACCTAGTCTCATGCGCGAGCGCCTAACCACTAGACCCGTGAGCCGGCCAGCATCCAACGGTGTTATGTATAACTTCAACCGATTCACAAAGTTTCGTCACCGTCTGCTACCGTCATCACTGAGTTACTATTTCCCAACAGACCCGGTCGAACTCCACTGGTCACCGCTTTTCATTAGAACTCCAAGATATACCTCTTGAAGCCAATCACTAGTGAACATAAGATGATTTTGATTATTACCCTGAAGAAGTCCAGACAAGTCTGTTGGACGAAACAGAGTTATTTTAAATTTCAGTCGCTGAGATTATTTCAAATACAATTATCACATATAATGACTTCTGCAGCGCCTAATCTTTGTCAAACTATCCGTTCTAATCCTGACGAATATTCGTATAGATTTATACTTCCTTATTTAGTAATAACCGTTAAAACTACAGAATACGGATTAGAGTACTAATATTAGATCATAGATATCACTAAACTGTTATTTGTATATGGCAAAATAATACACTGAATAGTATTATAGTTAAGCAGTACATAATAGAGAAAAAAGTAACAAATCAATCGACAAGTCTATACCAATGTATTCATTGAACTGATTAAATATGTGTTGAGTATATCTAATCTTAACTTATGTCAACATATTATGCTAGCTGATAACTATTATCACAGTTTATATTGAACCTTCATATCTGTTTATCAAATCAGTTTCCTCTCTCATTACCCTTATAAAATGTATTGTCACTTGGATCAAATACGAATTCATGTCATGCTTTACATTGATGATAACAGATTGATTTGATACTGACTTATGTTTGGATTTGAGAAAGTTAAAATTATAATTATGTCGTTAGATAGATAATGCACAATAGCAATATTTACTTATCTATTAAGATAAACCAATTATAATTTATACAATGAAAGATAATATTGAATACGGTATGTCATAAGTATACTTAAGTGGTCAAAATTCAAAACGTAAATAATAATAAAAGTTAAGAGATTATGTCACTGGTTAAAAAAAAAGTGTCAGTTCGTTACAACATACTCGTTATAAGTGATTTCTTGAGTAATAGATTATACACCATCATCTCGTACATAATACAAAAGTTATGTGAAGAAGGTAAAACTAATGTTATCACAGAATGAAAAAAAACTCCACAACTTTACTTCATTACACTGTTCATTTTGAAAAAATAAATAAACAGTAACATTCGAATATCTAGATGTCTTAGAGATATTGCATTAAACATTTCTCTGAGTTATTGGTTAACTTCAATGTAACAAATGTTTGAAATATCTACTCACTGGTAACTAACTTCAAGATGGATTTGGTGGGGTTCTAGTGAGAAATCATGACCAGTGAAGTTCAACCGGTGTCTGTTGTGTAAACAAAATAAAGGACGGTTGCTCAATATCGTGGATTGGTTGAAATTAGGCATTAGCACCGTTGGATACCGGCTGCGGTCTAGAGTTAGGGTTGGAATCCCGAGTACGGGACCGTGGATGCGCACTGCTGAGGAGTCCCATACTGCTTCCAGATTTTCAATGGTGGTCTAACACTGATCGGTTCATGATCTCAATTAAAACCCAACAATCTCGATAACACAGTACTATACTGAATAATTATTTATCCAAACTAACGTTTTCGCATTTATGATAATCATAGCCTTGAAGGATCTAGGAGTTGGTAAGATTTGTTGAATAAATGGTTACTAGTTACTCAAAAGTCAGTTTTTCATGGTTTTCGTAATACAAATAACATATATGGATGAGTTATTGAAAAAAGATAATAAAAATGTTTTTGCCTACTTATAAAGAAACACTTCTCAGGTTATCTAACCAATTGATAAATGTGAACCTAATAAGCTTCAATTAGATTCAGAATAAATTTACTCTAGTTTAGATGACCAACAAGTTGCATAATCTCTGAAACTCTGCTATGATAATTATAGTTATTTTTCATAAATGATGATATTTTAACAGCTGAAATATCTGCAGTGTTAAATGTTCAACATGCGATGTGTATTATATACCTTTAACCATTATCCATTTATTTAGTGGTGAATAATCTGAATAATAGCTACGAATTTAAAATAATCAAATGATATCTTATCACCTTAGGCTCAATCTAGGTAGTAATTATATTTGAAATAATCTCAATGATTGGAACCTTTAAATAACTTCAACAATTCATCTAGAAACTGATTCGAGCTACTTTTTTTATGATTTTGAACTAGTTTATCAGATTAAATGTCGAAATTATTTGAAAATTTTAATCAATGAGATTATTCCAAATACAATTTTTACATAATATTATCTTAGTGGCTAATCTCTGTCAAAACTGTTTGCACTTTTATTAGTTTATTTGAACACATAAATATTGGTACAAAGGGGTACCAAATACATATATGACACATAAATCAAGTAAGTTGTGTGTCTGTCTCGGTGCCCAAACCGAAACAGGTGGTTTTCTTAGGGGGCCACCAGCCCGAGCCTTTGACCTAAAGGTATAAACCACGACGCAGTGGAACAATCTTAGGAGATGCAGTCCCATGGTAGCCGGTGACCACAAATAGGTTCATACACTATTTGTTCCTTTAGGATCCTGGAGCCCATGTGCACCATTGGTTTGGAATCAGGATTTTTCAACTCCGCTAGGTGGATCCACCAACTTGGTTAAAGTGCCAGACATTCGCTTTTAGTACTCTGAATTCCGTAGATAACACCCCTACCACAAGAAGATAGTGAATAGGACTTCTTTGGCAGTGGCTGTATACATGTATTTCAAGTAGGTGAGCTGACTCATCCCACCCTCACTCTCCTAACATGGCAATTAGGGACTGTTTACACTTTAGTTTCATTTCATTCACCAAATATGTTAGAATAGAAAATAGTCAGAATAAATTATTTATTTATTCAATAATTCATTGAAAAGATATAACAAACCTATTCATATTATTATATATTTTTTCCAACAATGATGAGAAATACATATATAAGTACGTAAGTGTATGCGTACATACACATGTGCATATCCCTTTTATTTTTCTTCATTCATATGTAAACATACACAAATTGTGTTTTTTTTTAAAAAAAAACAAACAATTAAGTAGTAAGTAGTATCAATAGGTGAATTGGAAAAAAAACTATGATTAAGCAGAGATGTGAATAACAATAAAAATATGTTCCGACTGAAAATAGGGCATTATTATTATTGTTATCTCTATAAGGATTTATTTACTATTATTACAGTTATATTATAATTATTAGACAAACAAGTGAACAACATAGATAATATGAAAAAGAACAAAAAAAAAGAAAACAAATAGGAGTGACAATCAATTAAAAGTGTTATTGGGTGTATATATATATATATATATATATATATATATGAATGTAATTAAAGAACACTAACAGTACTCATCCATCAATAAATAGTCTATTAAAAAGAATGACAATCATTTAGATAAATTAGATCACACAACAACATGATTATAACAATATGGATAAACTTAACCATAATCAATTTTCATGAATGGTTTGTTATATAATGACCTAATATAAATATTTTGTTTTGGTTGGGAAAAAAACAACAACAACGACAACAACAAAACAAACAAACAAAATAATCACACTATCGAACAAACATCATAAGGAAAACAACTTGAATTATTATTGTGTTTTTTTTACTATTCAATTGTCAAAAAGTAACAGTAAACACGCGCACGCACGCATACACACAGATACACACATGCACACGTATATTTACAAATTGAAATAAAATGTTGTAGTGGATAATTCGAAAATAAAAAAGCAGAGTGGGAATATTTGATTTTATAAAGGGGAATAAAACTTGTGCTGTTGTTGTTTTTTCGAACGAAATAAAGGAAAGCAAATAAATTGATGAGAGAGAAAAAACAAACAAACAAACAAACAAAGGATTACTTTATGTTAAGCAAAACAACATACATTATGAAGTAGATTGAGAAAACAAAAACATAATTTTTTTTGGTGATACTATTCAGAAGAAGAAAAAAAATCGTCATCAGTCAGGGAGTAATTTCATCATTAACTTGTATATATATTTTACGTGTATAGTTTGAATGTATATTGTTTTTCGCATGAAATTAACAATATTCCTTTTAAACATGCACATTTTCAAAGTGTTTAAAATAATGAGTAACATAAATGAGGGAGAGAAAAAAGAAAGTATGATGCATAACAGAATGGTTAAAGGAATAGATAATAACATGAACAATATTTCTATTGTGCTCACAAATCAAACACTTCCAGAATGTTTCAACTCATTAATAATAATGGAATGACAATATTCTGTTCTTGTCTTTCTTTTTTTCTTTTAAGACAATCAAGATATAAACGTGAGCATGAAGTATAGTGGTGGATTTTTTTTAAAAATTTTTTCTTTGAAAAAGGGGGAAAAATCAATTATAAGTAATAGTTCATCAATAGAAACGGAACATTTGATTTAACCTATTTAAACCATAAAACACATCATACAAAATATGAAGAGATATTATCAATGTAATTCAGTTATCATAGAAATATTCTAGTATTAGTATTGATAATGGTACTAGTATTATATGCTAGTAATAATAGTAGCCATTGGAAAAAAAAAATAACAATTACAAGCATAAATGATTACAAAATTTTCTTTACTTAAACCATTGAAGTGTTGAAAGTGAATTTTCTAGATAGATACCGAAACTTTAAAATATAATTTACGATATAGTTTTTAATGTACATTAAAAATTATTATTTTCAATGTTTATTAGTAATATTGCTATGTTCTAAGTGAATAATTACAAAGTTTATGCCGAAAAAAATCTCCACATTCATTGAAGGAATTGAACATTATAGAATAGTTTTATAGTTTACAATCATAGTATGAATTAAAACAAGAAAAAAAAAAGGAAATGAATAACCACAACTTATGCACACAAACATACATACACACAAGAAAAGCATATTTTATAACTCTTCATTGAGATCAGAATTTTTTCTTTTCTTTTCAAGGATATATATTTATCGTGTGAATTCGTATACTGTAATAATAAACACTTTTCTCATATAATAATAATAATAATAATAACAGATGAATGAAGAAAGAGATCGATGGAGCAATAGTGGCAACGATAGGCAACTCTTTATGCATAACACAAAGAGAAAGATGAAGAAAGACAACAAAATTCACTGCGATAAATAAAAGTCAATGCAAAAAAAAGAACAGGACGATAAAAACAAATCAGAAGAAAACAGGTGACAATAAAAATCATTGGTGAGAACAAGTTGGAAATAATAAGCACTTGGAAAGCAATAATGATAATAGAACCACTATCATTGTCATTATTATTATTATTATTAGTAGTAGTAGTAGTAGTAATAGTAACAACTGATAATGGTTGTGTTTGTTTACAGTCAGTATCAAATGTTCAATTGTTAATTTAATTAATCATTTATTATTATTCATATTTTCGTCATTAATATTTAAAATTCACCAAATTCTTTTGCACACTTCTCTGTTGTAGCAATACGTAATGGTTCTTCTTCATAATCATCAAAATTACTTGCATCTCCAGCACCAGAACATTTTGGTGTAAATGGTGCTTCAATCTAAAATAATCAATAAAAGATTTAATTATACGAAGAAATTTATGTAAAAATGAATTTTCAATCAGTAAAAAAACAACTGGTTAAAGTAGATTCATAACTAAAAGTGAATAATACAGAATACATAATTTGTACTTTATAGGGATCTTTAACTGAAGGTAACTCTATCCAAGTATTAATGTTTCAATTGAAAATCAATCCCAATACTTTATAATTCAAACGTACATGATGCTATCCAACAAACTATTTAGTTCAAACGGTTATTAGCTTATGAAACAAATATGAAATTCAATTTTCTTTCTTTTACAGTTTGTATTTTTCTTCTTCTGTTGTTGATGATTAAAGAAAAAAACCCTTCAAGTTATTCATGCAGGGTATTACATATAACTCAAATAGTAGGATCAATTATAGTTTTAAGCACTAACAATAGAGAAAATGTTAACTTTTATAAATGATTAAGTTTGTAGATAAAATTCATTGTTAACTGTCTAACAGACACAGACCAATACATTCAACATATTCAATGAATTCCTTGAACTGTTATGTTCTTAATTGACAAGTCAAATAAAGTATTTTAACAGTTGAATTCATGAGTCGATTGGACCTAGACCATCATTGGAAACCTGGAAGTACTGGACGAACGTTTCGTCCTAGTATGAGACTCCTAAGCAGTGCACATTCACGACCCCGCACACAGGTCTTGAATCCAGGACCTTCGGTCTCGTGAGCAAACTCTAGACCACTGAGTCGGCATTCAAATAAACGAATCATAAGTGAACGAAAAAAAGTTATTATCAATAACAGTTAGTTCACCGAAATAGCGATCAGTTTCCATGCCTATTTCAAAAGACTGAGGGGTATGTAATTTAGGTATGAGTAGTTTTGTGTATGTATGATTGATTAAAACTGATGATAATTTAAGTGACTGAAAAACTGTTATTTTGCGACGGCGCAAAATATTTTTGATTTAAACTGTTAACAGCATGTTGTTTTATAAAATTGAAAATATGTGTAACGAGTGAGTTGAGGTTGAAGTCGTAATATCCATGACAATGAGAAAGATTGGACATTGGAAAATAAGGTAGAGTATGGAAAAACAATGGAAGTGAGCATCGAATAGGATCACAATAAGTGTATATATATATATATATATATATATATATATATATATATATACGCTACCGAAACTGATTCTGAGCAATTATGGGACCCAACATCACCAATCATCAGTGTATAATTCAATGATAATTAATCAACCTGCTTTAATGTAAAGCACTAGTCATGTTATGCAATATACAGAATTCCGTTATTTCATAGGTCAATCTACACTATGAAAAAGACTACATGACGTTAGTAACCAATCATGGATCATTTGTTGTGAAAATCGCAAACCTAAAAAATCAGTAGTGGCTCAACTACTTTATTCTTAACGTTTTTGATTCCAGCACCAAGCATTAGTATGCTAGAATCCGATTGGGAGATCCTCTGTTCCCTTAACATAACAATTAAGCCCTGTTTATCTATACCAACAAGCACAAATGTTAGTAATACGGGATTTCTATTCGGAATGACTACAAATGACCAGTCCCTTTGAGTATTTGTGCATACCTGAACGAACTGCCCTGATACTACCAATTACTTACAACACTAAGATTCACACAATAAAGGCATCTATTTAAACTAAAAATTTTCGCCTTTATATGAATGTACACATGTATATACAGAAGGCAAAGAAATAATGATTATATATAATTGTTTATAAGTAAATTTATAAATCACAATCGATCAGTTAGTCATCGTAACTATAGAACCTGTCAAAAAATAAGCATTAACATGTCTAGTACGGTCGGGGCACAAGAGAGTCAGCTCGCCCGTCCGAAATGTTCGCAAGTGGCCACGCGTACACATCCACTACAAGGGAAGACCTACTCACTGACTTCTAGCACTGTGGGTCTTGTTTACGGAATCTAGGGTGAAAGGAAGATGTACGACACTTTAACAGGGTTGGCGGACATGGACGGTTCACCTAGAGGAGTTGAAAAACCCCAATTTCAAATCAGTGATGAACATGGGCTCTACAACCCTTTGGGAACAAATAGTGTATGAACTAATTGTTGATCACCAACTACCATGGGAATGCATCGCCTAACGTTGGTCCAGTGCCTTGTGGATTAGATTTTTAGGTCAAAGGCTCGGGGAATGGCTCCTTAAGAAGATCACCTGCATCGGTTTGGGCACCAGGACAGTACTCTGTCCCTCACACAAATCATTCGATTTGTGTGGCGCATTTATATTTGGTGCCTCCTTGTACCAACTTTTATATATTTAAATAAATAAATAAAGAAGTGAATAATAATAATAACAATAATAATAATAATAATAATAATAATAAAGGAAACGAAAATAACATAGTACTAATGATCATACAAAAAAATTGAAAGATTGGAACTATCAAAATATGAATATCTTGGCTACCTGTTTCTGCCAATTAGATATTTCAACAAGTAATCTGTTGTTGTTTTCTGCTTGTTTTAACAGATCATTATGCCTGGTAGTGGCATAATCTATTCAGAAAAGTTAATTAATGAAAAGTATACGACCATTCTCTGTACAAGTTACAAAAAACTACAATCAGAGACATCGTGATGGCTGACAATATGCATTGAATTGAATGAACATGATTCAGATGTCGATTTCTGATCTCCCAACATCTAACTGATGATCACTCAATATTTATCGTCAGGATCGATCAAGAAATAAGAAATGGGAAACTTGTTGAGATACTTTGTGCTGAGAATTTTTTATTATACCAAAATAGTAATTTTATTATTTTCAAGGATTTTACTTTATCTGATGTATTACTTATTTTTAAATTGAACTTAAAAATGATAGTATGATGGTAAATCAGTTAACCAGGTTATGAATCTTCATCGACTGAGATGGTTTGGCCATGTATTACGGATGCCTGAACACCGATTACCATTACATGCAATGCCGACAAGTGTTGGGGATGGTTGGAAGAAAGTTAGGGGTGGCCAAACAAAAATGTGGCATCAGTGCTTGAAGACACTAACCTCTAGTCTGAGCCATGCTGGTAGATGCAGACTTGGTTTGGGTCCACGTGACTATCGTAACCAATCGTTGGAGACTCTGGGTGACATGTCTCAGAATCGATAACAATGGCGTCGGTGTGTACACTCTCTGTCTCCCCTTAAACTATGAGAGTGAAATTGCTTTATAGCTTTCTTTCTACCAACTAATTCTTTCTTCCTGTACTATATCCTTATACGCAATCTTTCTTTTATATATTACTACCAATGAATTAACTACTTCAATGAATTTGGTGATCTTGTTGTGCTAATGACGTATGGCAACTTGGACTGATGCATACAAGTGCATGATCCTACGTTGCAGCTGACTGACTTTAAATTGAATAGTTTATTTATGAAGTTTTCTTCATTACTTTAGATAACTTTGTATTAGTATTTGTTTCATATAAAAATCATGAAGCTTTTATTTATTCTATATGTATTTTGCTTTGATGACTTTGGTTGAAACTGATTAATAGTGAGATATGTCAAATTCCTTCCAACCTATTGTATTGTAGTGTATGTTACTTATGTTGACAGATATATGTAGCACGTAGCAATAATCGGAAATGGAATGCTTACGTGCAGAAGTTTGAGAAGATTGAAGTAAAAAGAAGAGAAAAGGAAACTGAAAGCATTCAAAATACTAAGAGAATGAAGTAACAATGAAGCTTTCAAAAAGCTATTCAAAATAGATGTGGAAACGATGTAGTTAGTGTATGATTTCTACATTTTAACAAAGCACTCTGTAATTTGGGATTAAACAATAAATCGGTCACCCCTATCATGTGACGATAAGGCATAAAGTAAATGGATGCGCATTGCTGAGGAGTCCCATACTAGGACGAAACGGCCGTCCAGTGCTTCCAGGTTTTCCATGGTGGTCTAGCTCCAATCAACTCATGATTCCAACCTGTGTAAATATATAAATTATCAGTTCACTGCTTCTAAAAGACAAAATAACAATGATGTTAGTTACGTATTCGATATGATCGATGAAAAAAAGTGAAACTTTATTTACATATTTTAGAACTTTCCCCTTACGGTTCATTATTTAGTTAATCTCTAAGACGTTATACTGTATTATAATAAGTTATATTTGTCGCAAACTGATCTCAGTTGGTATACCGTTGAAAACCAGATGGCAATGAACAACTGTTGCAACCTAGCATGAGATCCCTCTTATCAGTGAATACTTACAATTGTGACAAAGATTGAACACAACACCGATAGTTTTAAAAGCAAGACTTTTAACATTTATGACGTCCAATCGTATAACTCCAACTTCAATCGATTTAAGATATAGCGTGATGATAACTGTCCCATTCTCAGCATGTTTAACATTTAATCAGTCATAACTCTTCACCATGAATTCAAGAATACTATCTTGAAATAAAATATTAATGAGATATTTTAGTGGAAATATTTTTTGAAATTACAGTGATATTTCTTTTTGTTTTAATAGTTGATCTCATGAGTCAACCTAATCTAGACCACCTGGAAGTACTAGATGAAAGTTTCGTCCCAGTATAGGACTCCTCTGTAGTGCGCATTCACGATTTCACATGAGACTCTCAAACCAAGGAATTTTGGTCATACGCATGAACGTTTAACCTGTAGATCATTGGACCGGCATCTGATAGTGTTATTGTTTAACTTCAATCGATTCAAGATCTTGCGCAACCATCTATTAATTGTCTGATGTGGATAACTTTCTCTACCCAACATGGATTTTTTATTTCCCTTATTATATATTTACTCAATAAAATTATCAATATCATCGTATTTTATAAAATTAATATGATGAAAATTTTTGATTGTTCATTCAATGAAACCATAGAGACTACCATCAAATTCATTTCAACAGTAATATTTACAGTATTTGAGATCATGAGTCAATTGAAGCTAGATCACCATGGAAAACCTGGAAGCACTGAATGGCCGTTTCATCCTATTGTGGAACCCCTCAGGAGTGTGCATCCACGATCCCACCTCGCGGGATGCCAACCCAGGACATATCAGTCTCGCATGCGAGCGCCTAACCACTACACCACTGAACCAGCCAGCATCCAACGGTGTTAATGTCTAACTTCAACTAATCCACAAAATTAATCAACACATCCACCATTGTCATCAGTGAGTTACTATTTCACAATAGGCCCGGTTGAATTCCACTGGTCACTGCTTCTTACTAGAACTCCAGGATATACATGTTCAAGCCAGTCACTAGCGAGCATATACTTCCAGGTTTTCCACAGTGGTCTAGCTTCAATTGACTCATGATCTCAACTATTGAAAGTAATATTTATAATAAGAGAATTTTCTAAAAATAAACATTAAAACGATTTTTAAAAAAAAAAAGAAGATAAAACTTACATCACGTTTAAAAATAGAGAACCAATCAGTTGTTGCGAACCATTTATGTGTTTTAATATCATTAACACCATTTTTTAAATTTCCAAAACGTTTAGTTAAATCAACTTGTAAAAGATTTCTTAGTAAATCTTTTAAATCAGAACTAAAGTGTGACGGGAAACGAACCTGATTGGGTGGATAAAATATTAGTATTATTACTACAATAAAGAGATTAGTAAGAATTATAATAGTAGCAAGAATATGAGGAAAGTGATTACAGCGTTTGAAATTATTTAGTTTAGAAAAATATATGTATATAAATGTATCATTAGATTACTAGGTAGAGTAATTTCACAGAAAATAAAAGTCAAGTCTTAATTGAAGTTAAAATTATCTTTACATCAATAGTATATAGTAATAATGTATAGCTGGATAATAGAAACAATAGAGAACTGTAAACAACTTATTTTAATACACTTATCAAATGATTACGATATTATAGGAGGTGGTAATCAACTACTTATATAATGCACTAGTAGTATGTGATATTACTGTTTATTGTACAAAAAAAATAGTGCATCATACAATTGTTATGTGTATCTATTAATAACAACAAGTTAATAGAATGGATAGGTCGGAATTATTTAGAAGATTTGGACTTCGCAGATGATCTGATTCTTCTATCCTATAGACATCAACAAATACAAATGAAGACTACTAATGTAGCAGCAATTTCTGCATCAGTGAGCCTCAACATACACAAGGGAAAAAGTAAAATTCTCAGATACAACACGGAGAACATCAATCCAATCCCATTTGATTGGGAAACTCTGGAAGAGGTGGAACCAACAACAGAAATGATGCTTTCAGAAATGTAGATCTGGTTGCTACTATATCTAGTGATGACAAGGGATATGGGGCTGAAGCAAACGTAGATATGTAAATGATTTATGAGATCCGTAAGCCTTGTGAAGGATCTGACGATGAAAATTTGGACACTTGTGCTGCACGTTACTTTTCCCAACCGCCAGGCGTCGAATACAGTTTAGAGGAATGGGTCAGATCTATGAGATACAGATCGTTCAGTCATTTTGTCAGATCTACAAGGACCGCTAAAGGTAACCTATGTATGGAGTGATACGGTTATAACATGTAAAAATGGGTTCTGTAAGTGCATACCACACTTAATATTGATTTTCAGTGTAGATATTAAAGAGCATTCAATGAGAACACAAAATGGCCCTTTTTATGGCCTCCTCAACAAACTGATTTAATACTCCGGGTTTTTTTTACTCGTTGTATTAAAAATAGTCCGGTTGCTTGATAGAAATAGTCATGAAATAACTTTTATACTAAGTGCGTGTTACATATAGCATAGAACAGACCAAATATAACTACCTAATAATATATATGAATTTCTGCTTTAATGACGTTCATATAACGTGATGTTCTATTTGTAATCAGTAAGTTTTTTGGATAGATTGATCTATTTAAGGTTAAACAGTTAATCTGTAACAGACAGTAAATATGAGTTATTCTACGTCTGAGACAATTACAATGATATCGATTCCCTGTTTGACATAATTTATCTGTCATTAACATCGTATTTTACCATTAAATTGAAACTAGTAACATTAACGTAATATGTGCGTGTAATTGTACGCACATATTACATGATTAAACTACTTGATCCATTCGGTGTTGTAACAAAATGAGAATTGTATGTTAAAACTGTGATAAAATTAATAACACCTTACAGGTGAATATTATATTTTATTACAGATTATATATGATAAAATTACATGTAACTACGATTGTACAGTTTTAAAAAATGCAATTGTCTGAAAAAACTTTTTTTCCTGAAAGGTCTACATTCTTTTTATGTTAGACCAGCAATGAAAACCTGGATGCACTGGACGGCCGTTTTTTTCTAGTATGGGACTCCTCAGTAATGCGTACCCATGATCACACGCGCAGTTTTCAAACACAGGACCTTCAATTTCGCATGACTAATTTAGTTGTTCTTGGCTTGAATGCTATAGGTAATGGACATGTGGTTTATAACTCTCTTAAAAAGTGGTAATTTACACTTGCAATTGATTAGTTTTTTTTTCAGGTGAACTAGTAACTATGATCATGATAAACTCGTGTTTATGAAGAGTGAACTATCCAATTTCATCATATTCGTTAGCATGTAGAATGTATTCATCATTGAGATCCTATACTACACAACTTTGGCATTATACATATTTCATATGTGCAATAGCTGACAAATGAGCTGTTTTAAATGTCTCCTTTTTTATCTCATTTAAACGTCTAATGACTTAATTGACATTTAAGTCATATTCGAATTTATTCTTAACGGGATAATCTAAAAACAACTACACATATAAATGGAAAAACTTAGTCCGGTGTCTACATGATTGATGAGAATAAAAGTTACTATTTTCTTCATTCTAGGTATTTATTACCCAATATCATTTCTTGCAATTGTCTTCATTTAAATCTAGTAATTACTGTTATTATCAGTATTTCATTTACGGTTTAACAATACTCATGAATAAGTCTGTAAATCTCTAAAACCACTTTGTGAGTAGTTTATAAAATTATACCAAGTTAAAATTTTCAAGATTAAGATACTTTAATCATATGACAACTTATCCTTCAATATTAGTTGATAATGATTATAAAAATTATAATAGAAATAACCATTTATGTAAACACATTCAAATGTTGCATTTGAGTAAATAAAGTAGAACTATGAAACATGATGGATCAGATCAATTGAACTCTTTGGACTAGTAAACAATATTTATATCTCCAATTCATATTAAATGACATTACAACACATTATCCTGCTATTAACTAAATCACTGAATGGGTTTATATATGATTAGTTTGATAAAAAGCAAAACAATTGTTATATTCGTATTCAATTGATTCCCTAAACTCGTAATTCTAGTAATATACTAGTATACACATTTTAAATTTCGAATTTTGTTGTCTTTCTACATCAAATGACGTTAATTCTTTCTATACACAGAATTAACTGTTGAACATGTTTGAACAAGAATTCATCATTAACTTGTTTTAAGTCTTATACATCGTTAATAATTAATATATCCATTATTGAACAGTTTGCTCATTAACATAAAGGTTAAATACAATGAATTGTATTAATTCATTATTAATCAAAATTAATTACTTTGAAAATTGATTTTTTCAAATAGATGAGCCGATTGAAACAACCTTTTTTAAACCTACGATTAGAACAATCCAATAAAAAAATAAAGCATTATCCACGAAACTTAACCAATCAGACTGTAACAAAAAAGTTGGGTATTAATAAGACAGTGACTACAGAATCGGTCTGGATCACACAGTAATAAAGTTAGATAGAACTAATTACATAAGACAGTTCTGAAGAAACTTAACAGGGTAGAAATTTATGAATGTTATTCGCCACCATCTTTACCTCGTAAAAAACATTTCAGTAATTATATGAAGCTGTATAATCTTATTTATACGTAATGTTTTTACATGTTGTAGTCTATTTATTAAAATATCAGAGTGTTACAAAATGACCAAAGATATTTAAATTTATTCAAGTATCGGATGTGAAAGTCAATGAAAATGAATGGATGATAATTTTATCATCTATGATGAAGACAATGACCCTAATAAAATGATACAAGTCCATAATAGAATCAAAGTTGAATGTTGATGTTCTACTAAAACGAAGACCAGATGGATCTCTACAACAATCGATATACAGAAAGCTAATCTGGTACGAGAAGCATAAGAACATGCATGATTGGGTGCAGCTGCGTAGTAAGAGAACCTTAATCTATTTTCTACCCTCAAGAGCTAGATGAATATGAAATTGAAGATATACTTGATGATAAGTTGAATATAATCTGATGAAAACTTTAATAATAATATTAATAATAACTTAAAAACAAAACGTCAATTTGAAAGTATCTTCACAGTTTCGAATAAAGTTTTATTCTTGAACATTGAATGAGTGAGAGATACAGCTAAATGATACAATCCCCTCTTTATTCAATACCAGAGAACTTTGATTACGCTGAAATAACATCCATTTATAAAGTTTCACCAAACAAGAATTTCAACTATTTTTTTGTTCTAATCGAATTCATTTCTGTAGTTGCTCTAGATCTTATCAGTGATATCAAACCATATTTAAAGAATGAAATACTAATAACACTAACAAGAAAATTCATAACACAGTTAGATAGGTAAATAAAATATAAAATACATTAATTATAAATTATTTATTTTTTTTTGTTAAAAATGTCAAATAACAATATCACCTACTTTTCCCGATACAATACGTTCATAAATTTGTATTGGTTGATCAGCAAAAAATGGTGGATAACCAGCTGCCATTTCATAAACTAATACACCAAGTGCCCACCAATCAACAGCTTTATTGTAACCCTACATAACAATACAATATTATGTATTAAAAGAAAAAAAAAGTAGTAATGAATAGTTAGAACAAATTTTAAATATCATTCAAGTATATTTTTTTGTTACAATAAAAATTTATGGCAACGTCGGTGAGACTATAATTTATGGACGAGTCAATCAAAAGCGTTTGAGGGATATCAAGTTCATGAAGCCACTTTCAGTACCTGATGCTCACATACGATCAATTCACAGCGGATTTTAGATAAAACGTGATAATTAAGTGACTACAACAAATGGGACTATTAAGAAGCTCTTTTATTTGTGATCGTGATAATTAAATAATTTGTGAACCTTGTGTAGACTACCGTGATGTTGTCTTTCAATGTAATATGTATTGCAGGAAGAATTCTGCTGGAATAGGATTTTTTGCTCAATCCAGATTGATAATTGTTGCTACTTGGATAATAAAAGTGACAGTAACACTGGCCACAGCTAAGTACTACAATATATACGGATGATTGGAGAGCCTACAGATGACTACATTGACTTGGTTATGCGCATCGTGTCGTTATCCACAAGTGGCATCTTGTAGACCCAACAACCTGAGTGCACACAAACAATATTCAAGCTATGTGGTCGAGACTCAAAGAGTTTTTGCGACCTTATCATGACTCAAGTGGCCAATTATTATGGAGTCATACAGAAAATCTCTACTGCATGTGATACGATTTTAGAACCTCTGAACCTCTTTCTAACATTGACAAGTTTTTAGATCATGTAGAAGTGTAAACGCTTTATATCTCTGATTTTGTATAATATATTTTTACTCTATACTGATTGTTTTCTGATTGACTAATATTTCTCAAGCTCACATAAGATTCGTTCAAAGGTCGTCTATAAATTATAGTCTCGCCGCAAAATCTTACACAATGTACATTTTAACAATTTGAATTTCTCATTTTCACCTTAATATGTATTTCCCACTTGGAACAACTTTAAATGTCATTGATTTGTTTTGTGTTTTTCTATGATATTTTTGTACTGTATATACACAGATGAATTGTATGCTTATTCGTTCGTATTTCCAATTATTTATAAAATATACATTTCCACGGGTTCGAGTTCCGTGTGCAAGATCATAGATATATGGATTACTAAGTAGTCCTATACTAAAACGAAACAATCATTCAATGTTATCAGGTTCTTAATGATAATCTAATTCATAAATTCAACTATAAAAATGTAAGGATTATTGAAAAAAAATAAACAAAACTACCGAAACAACTATTCATATAACTTAATATCAATGTAATATAATATTAGAATAGGTGATTATTGTTAGTTTATGTTACTAAGTTGATTGTATCATTGATTTAAGTAACAATTTAACAAAATGGGTTTTGTGGAGAGTTAGAAATTTCACAGGTTGAAATCATAAGTCAGTTAAAGCTAGATCACAATTGAAAACCTGGAAGCACTGAACCGCCGTTTTGTCCTGGTATGGGACTCCTCAGCAGTGCGCATCCACGAAGACAATGGTGTATGGTGGCGCAACTTCGTGGATTGGTTGAAGTTAGACATTAACACCGTCCCATACTAGGACGAAACGGCCATCCAGTGCTTCCAGGTTTTCCATGGTGGTCTAGCTCCAATCGACATATGATTTCAACCTGTGAAATTTCTAAAACTCTCCACAAAACCCATTCTATTAAATTATTACTTAAATCAATGATGCAATCAAATTAGTAACATAAATTCTAAAAAAAAAAACATTAGTCCCTTTTTTGTACTCATCAATTATTTATTATCTAAAATCTAGCAAAAACGAAACAAACATTGAATGAATCTAGATAAATAACAAGCTGAAAATTTTCTACATGACCTTAAATATTCAATAGTTCATTATATATATGTATTAAGGATTATTTAGTAAATTTATATAATAAGGTTAGACAATGACTGGATCTAATTAATATTAATAATAATATTATTATTATAAGATTATGTATATAAAATAAAATTGAAAGTCCTTAAAACCAACTTATTAATCAGTGAAATATTATAGTTCCCTAGTTAAATGTAATATCATTTTATTATTCATAATAAGCATGAACTGATCAGTTCGTTTAACATGATTACTATTAGTAGTATAATCAGTCATAGTAATAATAATAATAATAATAGCGGTGATAATAATATGAATATGAATGGATTTCACTATCCTTAAAATCGATAGAATTTAGGAGAAAAAAAAATAGAAAAAAGAAAATAGTCACAACATAGACATATAGGTCAATCAGGTTAGAATAAATAACCAAGTAATTGATAACAGAGAAGGGGATATATATAATAGAATTAGAAAGGCAGACAGATAAATATCCTGTTAGTTAAAAAGAGATTCGAAAAACAAATGAAACATTGAAAGTTAAATATTAATACTAATAGTAGACTAAAAAAACTATTGACTTTTTTTCTCATTACTTGAATATGTTGTATTATAAGTAATAACAATATAAATTATCACAATAAGCCTTTTTAAACTCCTTGCAAGTATGAACATTAGAAAATCCATTAATAATCAGACTAGCCTAGTTCTTGTAATTGTTATCCGAAAAAGAATTGAATGTATGTACCGTATGATAATTTTACTATCCGATATTATCATTCATTGAAATCATGAACCAATTAGTGATTGACTACCATTGAAAAATCGGAAACACTGGACGACTGTTTAATCTGAGTATGGGACACCTCAGCATAGTGGATTAGTTGAAATTAGACTAACATCGTTGGAAGTCGGTTCAGTGGTCTTGAGGTGAAGCAATCGCACGTGAGACAAAAATTCCTAGATTCGAATTCCACGCGCAAGATCATGGATGTGCACTGCTAAACAGTCTTATATTAATACCACATGGTCATCTAACACTTCCAGATTTTCAATAGTAGTCTAATATTGATCGATTCATGAAATTCAACAGTCTCCACAACCGTAAATTGAATATCATCACTCAGTCGACTAAATAGTGCTTTCACATTTTTAACAATAGCCATTGAAATGGATCACAATTATCAAACATGTCCTTCACATTAATTCTATCAGATATCAGGTTGCACTAAATGATTAAAACTTGAATTCAAAAATTTTATAGTTTGACAAGAAAATGCTACATTGATATTTATTTTATTTTAACACATAGATATTGGTATGATGAGCCATCAAATATAAATGCGCCACACAGATTTCATTTGATATGTGTGAGGACTGTGATACTGACCGGGTGCCCAAACTGAAGCAGATGGTTTTCTTAGGAAGGCCACACCCGAGACGTTCGACCTGAAGGTCTAATCCACAAGGCAGTGGAGCATTGTAAGGAGATGCAATCCCATGGTAGACGGTGAATAATAATTGGTTCATACACCATTTGTTCCCTCAGGGTACTGGAGTCCATTTGCAGCATTGATTTGGAATAAGGGTTTTCCAACTCCTCTAGGTGGACTCTCCATGTTCACCAACCCGGTTAAAGCGCCGGATATTCACTTTATGTCCTCTCAATTTAGTAAACAACAACCCCGCCACGAGGAGGCAGTGAGTAGGACTTCCCTGGCAGAGGCTATACAGGCGTGGCCATGTGAGAGCATTTCGAAAGGGAGAGCGGACTCTCCCCACTCTCGGCCGTATCAGGGCATTTGGGGGCAAGGTTGTGATGGGGTTGGGATTCGAACCCTCGCCCTTTCGGACTGGTGTTGATACCTTCAAACATAATAACACTGCTTATTTCTAGAACTCCTAACAACAATATTATTGTAGTCTGGAATAACAGGAGAATATTATTCTTTCTAAACGTAACATAAGTTCAAAATTTGCAAGAAGTGTGAATTTTCCTTTTACCAAACTGTCATTGTACCAATTTATTGATCTAATTTTAATCTATACAAAATCTAGATTCAAACATTTCAAATGATTGGCGGTTTCTAACTATCCAAATTGACAATTATCTTATTGGTTATAATTGTATTCATATTAAATACTAGTTAAGATAGAATATTCGTTATTGTTTTGAAATGACCTTAATTACATGATTAATAATTATTATATCGATCTAATAAAATGAAAATACAATTAGATAGTAGTATATGGAATTCATATAAAATATTCATATATAACAAATAAATTTTGTAATAAAGTCCCTTACTAGAAGACGAGAATCAATAATAAAAGGCATGTAACTTGTAATCTGTATTATTTATTTAAATAATGTAAAAAGGCTTTGTTGTCCTTGTGTTAAGTCTATTTTATACATATACTTTCATATGTGCTGAACACATTTTTGACGATAATTATTAGAGTTTAGTAAATATTGAATTGGAGTTTAAAGCGTTTTCGAATTTCAATGTTGGAATATCAACACTGAGATTCATGAAAAGTCTTCTATAGGATGATAAGTACATTCTAAATTTCCATGTTAACTACTATCTAAATATATTAAAACATTCTATAACCAAAAATATTACATACTTGCACACTGACATTCAAAAATATAATTGACGATATATAGCTAAACAGTTGAACCATTGGTTGTATATTACTGAGAATACCGATTTAGTCATTCTCAGATTAGTCACAAGGTGCCAGGTAAGGATGGAAATGAGATGCTTAGAATATGTATTACGCACGTACCACCACCTACCTTCACGTGTGCGATGATCGATATTGAAACAGTAAGCTGGGAGAAAACTAGCGGTGGCTAAACTAAAACGTGGAATCCGTCTATGATGTTATTGACAATTGGACTGAGCCATTTAAACATATGTAAACCACTTAAATAACGCGATTACCATAACCAACGGTTAGAAACTTTATATGACAGCTAGTAACCGTTTACAATAGCACGAGTGCATTCACTCTTTGTCTTCCTTTAGATTTTTTAAACTGTTTCATTATTTTGATCACTTTTTTCTAATGTCTTATATGTCTAATCATTTTTATTTCAATCAATATTGTTACTAGCTTTACTAATCTAGGGATT